GAGAGAGAGAGAGAGAGAGAGAGAGAGAGAGAGAGAGAGCAATTAGTTCTGGGTGTGGGATATCAATAATGTTAAGTAATGTAGGGCGTGCTCGAGTAAGTTGAATAGCGTGCATCTTTGTGCACGTTTGTTGTCTAGTACTTATATTGAAATAAAAAGTAAGTATTTGTCAATTCTAATTTTGAGAATATGTTACTGCAATTTGTTGAATATAAAAATAAAGTAAACTTAAATCAAAAATTCTATTAATAATCGAGAATTAAAATTAATTTGATAGTTGAACAATAAACTAAATCAATTTATTTATATATATGTATATTGTTAATTAAGTTCGTTTTCTAGATTATATATTCTATTATGTATACATGAACACATTAAAATTATACATAATATTTATAATATCAAACATTATGTAAATCATATTTGGTACAAGTATTAGAATTGATTTCCTTTTGTATTTTCTTTAAATCAAACTTGACGACAAAGAAATTTGTCTCATTTGGATTTATACCAAAAATAAAAGCATCAAACCTGTTTGACAACACTATCAGTTCTTTATGATTCTTTAGAGCCTTCATTCCAGATACAGATTGCAATGTTTCGTTATTTTGCGCAAGAACCACCTTAAATCATTTCATTTTACAACGATAAGTATGAAATTATTCTTATTAATACACAAAATTATCGTTAATAAGATAGTATTGAAGTAAATTATTATAAACGACATAAAAAATAATTCCATTCGAATATCTCACCATGCTCTCAGGATAAAATTGTTTGCAAGCGTTCGTGCCTTCAATGGTACTTTGTAGGTAATTAGTTGTAAAGATTGAACATTTTGCAGATGCTATTGGTCCTGTCTGAACTGATAATTCACCCGCAAGTTCAGTTTGATTATTTGCTGTTTCTCTATCTGGACATTTTAGTAGATTCGCTATTTTCATCTTATATATTTTCTTCTCCGTTAATGGATTATAGAAAAGGTCTAAAACATTAACGAAAGAGATATACAAATTTACAAAAGAGTCTTCTATGCTTTACAAATATATGTACAGCGTAAATATATAAATATTAACAGAAAGAAAAAAATTTGAATGTGCAAATAATATTAGGGTTTAATGTTACAATTAAAACTCTTAATGCGTGTCATGTGTGTAACAAATTCAGACATAATTGAAACAATATTTTTTGTATTAAATAAAAAATAAATACTTGCCGTCGTGGATGGTCGTCATATCGTATATACCGGCTATAAAAGATATAGTTTCGTTTGCTATGGTGAAATTAATAGAGTTAGTCGCTCTCATGAAATCAGATTCGACCCTGCATGAACTATTTTTAGACGAGTCATAAATCACTAAACCGGAACCTATCATGTCGGATATAAATACCTGTGTATATTTATATTTATGTTGAATAACATAAACTCTTAGAATACTAAATGTATAACTAAACGTGTAAATAAACTATTGAAAGTGTTTAGACAAATACAGTATGGTAAATTTATGTTCTATTGTAATTAAAATAAAACAAATCAAAAGAAGGTATACTAACGATCATTTCATCCAATAACCGATTACATTTTCCAGGACAGTAAACAAAAGGTCTTGTCAGAAATCCAGAACCAGATTCGTTAGTAGCGATGTCAGGTGGGATATTAATAGTTTTAACTAGCGTATTATTTTCTAAATTAAAGATTAATAATTTTGGATCACAGTTTTCACTAATTCCCAACCCGGTATCCAGAACGAAGATGTGATTGCATTTAATCTGAAATGAAAGTAAAAATTCTATTTCAAATAATTATCAAACTGAGATTATTATTGTGTATGGAAATAAATGTGCATAATATTGGGTTGGCTATTTTAATATAATTATGGCTATAAATGTAAAATATAATAATCGCTTAGATGAAAAATATCAATACTTACATAAATCGAATAAACATTTACAATATTATCACACGTGTTATTATTATTATACCAAGACCAATCTGGATATGGACATAAAAGTGGACCCCCTGATCCTATTGTATCACTGACTGTCACTAAACTAGCAGGTACAGTATCATTAAAGAATTTTGGTACAGTAACGAATATTCTACCATCTATAAAAGTTTTGTTTGTTAATGGAATTTATCTTCTATTAAGAAAGATATGCTTACATCGCAAATTTCAATGTAATAGCAACGCTATAATTGTATCGAAATATGTATAATAAAATTTAAGTATATTAAACATAATTAATATATATACCTATATATATATTTATGTATACGTATAATTCATAATAATAGTATTCAGAATAATATTCAGAATAGTTTACTATTAACCTACCATCTGCTTTATCTATATCGTTTAAATAGCACTCGCTAACGTTATAATTGCCAGAATTGATTGCTTCTTCCTTTTGCTCCGGATTATCCCAAACATAATCTAGATACTTCCATTGGTACACGGTTTCCATTTTGACACCAAAGCCGGTAGTTGCCATCGAGAGTATTAATATAACGAACGGAAGACATCCCATTTTTATTTATATACTGTTAGATTCAGTAAAATAATGAAAATGAGTAGTACTGGTAGAAATGTATTTCATACACGGGAACTCAATGGTGATCGCTTGCAGAATATTACATAGTTCATTGTTTTTCTCGCGGCCCAATATATATATATAGTTTTAAAAGCCCTCATTATGCCATCTACAATTTATAATAATAATAATGCAGGCTTATTACATATTTCAAAATAATGCAACTTCGTTGTTTTTCGATATAGAATCGCATTTAACATATTGCTTATAATTATACTTTTACAATGTATGTTTGTTGTATATATGTTATCTTATCATTTCATACCTATTTTTAGGAATGTAGAAAATAGCGTATAATATTATCTATCTTCAGTTTTTTGTTTTTACAATTGCAAAATATGTTTACATCAAATATTACTATAGTATTCAATAATTCATCTCACACATAATATTAATATTACAATAAATTAACTAATACGCTATACATCTGTACATGTTAAATACGATTTTTAAAATATCTTTTAATTCTTACACATCTTCCTATATAAACTTCTACTTTTGCTTTTTATCGTTAAAATAAAAAATTATTTTTTAAAATACTTTTCAGACCATAACAATTATTATGTCAAAATTACAAGAGGAATTAGATCTGGGTGTGGGATGGTCAGTAATTAAATAATGTAGCACACATGCTCGATATTTATTTTCTTGCATATATTATAAGCGTTGCTTTTATCATCGAATTCGAAGCGACTCGATATCATTCCTTGCAGGCGAAGAACGATGATGAAATTTACGGAAACACTGTTAACCGAGACACATTAACGTGCAGGACAATATTTTTTGCTTGACTTCAAGATAATTTTTAGCATATTAAAACATGAAATATTTCCATGAAACTTGGTACCCTAAGGTTTTGAGGGTCGCTCTTCACAATGGCGTCATCAGAATTGCATTTCGACCATGTGAAAATTAAATATGAGGCGGTCCGAACAAAAAAAGTGACGAAAAAATCGACTTTTTTTAAAAGGTTTTCGAATTGATAATAATTTTTCTAATTTTCGACAAGTACGATTGGTGATCAAAATAGTTGTACTTTAAGACTCCACGGTGAAATTTTTGAAATCCATCATGGCGGATCCAAAATGATGATCGAATTATTCTTGAAAATTTGGTGTTTTTTTCCGTACAATCGCATCAAATTTGAGTTATGTGCAACTTGTTAAATGTATATAACCACAGATCTATGATTTTGTGGTCTATATCTTTTACATTCCTGCTTTCAAAATGGCGAATCCAATATAGCGGAATATAAACTCGAAAAATCGCTAATATATTTGTATCTTTTTTTTATTTTACACGCCATTTGAAATCTCAATCTTCAAATTGTTAGAATGTTAGAGGTGCATGAAAATTTGGAATTATTCCAAAGATCGCGGATCCAATATGGTAACCCAGCAACTCCAGAAAATTGAAATTTTGTCGTTTTCATTAATAATTTGTTGCAAGCAGTTTCCAATTGATTATTTTGAGGACAACTATTTGCATTAAACTGCATCCTAATATATTCCCAAATTGTCGTCGTTATCACGATTACTTCTTTAGTAATAGTGCATTGCAAACATTTCGTCATCAGTCGTTTTCATGACTATTTTTCTACTGAGAGAAGAAGAATAGAATAGAAGATTCAAAATCTCGCGGTTTATAAACGTCGATAGATCATCTTTGCATGGTCGCATTCGCTCAATGGAAACTGAGCAAACGTTACATCCGATGCATATGCGTCGTCCACTTCCGTCTGTCTTAGTCGCATAAATTCTGATTAGGACCTCACACGTTGTCTGCGGCGACAGTTTGCAAATTAGACATAGGATAGTCTTGCAGTGTTTGTCAAACCTCTCTTCCTCTTGTTCGTTCGTAACTTCGTTCATTATACTTGCCTATCAAAAAACTGCCTTATTATCTTTAACCCACTAATCTATTACGAACATTAAATTAGTCTTATATATTACACAAAATACGTGCGAGACGAATAGTATGTGCAAACATTGATATTTTACTTAAAATTAAAAAAATTAAAGAAGGAAAGTTTCCTAAAGATAAATAAGCAAAGACTTTCTTTGGTTGCAAGAAATTAAAAATAAACTTTTAAGTTGATTGAATGCAACAGAGAAATGTTAATAAAAATTATTTTTAATGTAATTAAAAATTAATTTTTATTAAATATTGCAATGTTTAATTATCTATCTATTTTCTTTTTGTGGCATATAATGAAAAAATATTTTATTATAGTTTTGAAAAGCTCTTGAGATAAGCTACAAGAATATGCAATGAAAAATGGAGGCTTCCATTTAAGAAATTAAATGTGACCTTTACGTGACTTTCAAACGCCTATCTAAGGTCAAACCAATTGCACCATCTTATGTCCTCCTCCGAACCATACAACTTTTGTCTGAAACATTTTTCCGTATCTTCCATATTTGTCAAGATATTTACCTGGTTCGAATAAAATGACTCATCCTGTATATCGTTTTATCCTTGTTGTTACCCAATGTTTAACAAGGATAAGATGATATACGAGATATACGAGGGTAATGTTTCCGAACGCAGTTCAATGGTCAATGTAATGACTTGCCGATCCGGTACTTTTTTCTGTCTAAAAAAAGACGTATATTTTCATACTATCTTTGAAGCATTATCGCTGAAGTTATATACGAAAACAATAATATTCCGTTTTGAAAATAAAAATATTCTAAAAAATATTTTGTCCTTTTTGCGTCTTTTTTTTCAAAACAAAACAAAAACGAGCATATTTCTAAGAAATATTTTTTTTTTAATTAGAAATTCCCTACATGCTCCCAAGGTTTGACCATTTAAATTAGGGAGATCCTCTATATATGGTTCAAAAGCCTTCATTATACAATCTATAATAATAATAGCAGGCTTGTTAAAAATATTTTAAAGTAATGTAACTTTGTTGTTTTTCGATATAGAATCGCTATGCATTTTAACATGATGTTACTTATATTAAAATTACATTTTTATGTCTGGTGCACGTGTAATATGTTACTTATATGAATAGAAAATAGAGTACTGTATATTCTTATGTATCTTCTATTTTTTTTCTTTTTACAATTGCAAGACATACCATACAACATAAAAATATTTTACATAAAAATATTACTATAATATTCAATAATTTGATGAATAATATTAATACTACATTAAATTAATTGATACGCTTTATACATACATATATGTATGTTAAATGCAATCTCTTAAATATCTTTAAATTATACATATATGTATCTCCTATAAATAGTTACTTTGTTTTAACAAGACAAATGTTATTATTTTCAATTATCTTTTCTGATCGTAACATTATTTTGTCAAAAACTGTAAAAAATTATATCGTGGGTTGAATGTCAATAATATCGCGCGCATGCTCGACTTTAATTTTTTATATTATATTAATTTTTTGTTAAAACGCAAAGATTTTATCATTAAATTTGAAGTACCTCAATGTCGTTACTGTCATCAGTCCTTGCAGGCGTAGAAACGACGGTGAAATTTACGAGACATCGTCAAAACGGTGTCTTGGTGTGAGAATCAATTAACGCTCGCCGCAGAAAACGACGGAGACACGAGAGATGGAAGAGCAGAGGGCGAGAGATCTGAGTTTCTGAAGACACGACGACTTGTCCAGAGTATCATGAAGATCCGAAATCTTACGGCCTGTCTGTAAACATCGACGGACCGCCGTCGGAAACTAAGCAAACGCATTACATCCGATGCATATGCATCGGCCACTTCCGCTTGGGTTGGTCGCATAAATTCTGATTAGGATCCCGTGCGTTGTATGTAGCGATGGTTTGCAAATCAGTCGTAGGATAGTCTTGTGGCATTCGTCAAACATCACTTCCTCTTGTTCATTAGTACCTCGTTCATTATACCCGCCTATCGACTATCCCTCTTATCGAACCCTTATCATCTTTAACCCATCAATGTACTATGAACGTTAAATTAACTCTGTATGGTATACGAATACTGTATGAAATATGTGCTGACAAGCTGTGCAAACATTGACATTTTATCGGTAATTTAAAATGAGAAAAGGCTTCTAAAAGCTAAATTCGTAAAGGTTTCCTTTTTTAATTACAAATGATTAAACATAAAAGTTTAAACAGCGAATTGGCTGTTATACAGAGCATTCAAATCATTTTCTTTTTTACGAAATTTTAATAAGATTTGCTTAAATATTAATATAATGTTTAATTATTTATTAGTAAGAGTGTGTATTACTTTTACTTACAAGTTCAAAATCGAAAATAAATAAAAATCTAACCAAAGGATAATATTTGGACAAGGTTCTTACTAAAACATTGACTTTAAATATGTTAGAATCTATAAATAAAACATTTTAAAATAAAACATAATACTCTGTATACAAATTGCTATACATATTTAACTTCAAAGATATCGATTTAAAGTCTAACAGTTTCATATTCCAATTTTAATAATAATTATTATTTCCTCATCTTAATGTGTTATCGCCGATTAAAACATTAATCAAATATTTGATTTATTGGATTAAATAATTATTTGCTTCTATTTAAATTAGCTAAACAATTAATTGCTGAATATTAAAAGATTGAAAGTGATAAACATAGGAAATATGAGAGTGTATATACCATCGTTTGTTATATGTAGGTTACAGTGAATATTTTATCTATGTCACTTAATAATAATATACATACGATAATAAATAAATATACCGAAAACTTTGTCTTTTTTCTCTAATATTGCAAAAAGGAGAGATGAGGATTAAGATCTCTAGAAACTTAGAAAGTTGACATTTTATAAATTTTATGTCGTTCAGTTAAATCGGCGAGAAATAATCTGCAGCTAATGCGATAACACGTGTAATAACAAAAAGAGTGGCGGAAGATGAGCGATAATTAAATTATGCTCACCCCAAATAGCTCAGTAAACATTAGCAATAACGTACACGGTCGGTGGATGGTGGCGTATTAATTATCCGTAAGTGGGCTTACCCCGATCACGCAATTGACCGATTTAAAGTAAATT